TTGCTGATTACGTGACTTGGCCCATGAGACCCTAACTTGACTTCTGCATATGCACTGCATAAATAAACGCACTGGGATGCAAGAGGGTCGTAGGCGTCTCTCATCAGGAGTGTTGGACCCACCTGATCCCAGTCAGGTTAACAGACTTGCTCACACTGGCCATGACAGGTGTGTGTGTGTGGAGATTCCTTTAAAAACTATAGCACTCTCATATGATCCTGGTATACCACTCCTAGGCATATCTCATGGCTTGTGCGAGCTTGTCCTATGAACCTAACTGGGAGTGATGGGAGATTGAGATAAGACAAAAGATAAACATGCACAAAAGCTGGGGTCAAGTGGGCTGGATGCTCTGGTAGAGACACACAACAGCCTCCACCACCTCCAGCAAGTTTACTATATATGGCGGCAAACCAGGAAGCAGAGCAACAGTTCTTGGGGTGGTGTGACATTGTAGTTATCAGGAACAGGAGGAACCTGCAATTGCTTCTCTCTGGACATAAACATCTTAGGAAAAAGCAGCTGTGCTGCATTTTGCCCTTGCCCTCTTCTGCAGCTGGGGGCTGTGCCCATCCCAGCCTGCAGGTTATTGGACATAGCTGTGCTTGCTCCCTTCTGTAGCTGGGGGTTGTGCCAAATCTCAGCCTGAAGATGATTTGACATAGCTGTGCTATTGTCAAGTTCTCATAGGCTTCTCATAATCCACTCCCCACAGGCATATACCCAAAGGAATATAAGTCAGCATGCAATAGAGATACCTGCACATCCAAGGTAATAAGCAGCATGATTCATACCAGCTAAGCTATGGAACTGGCCTATGTGCATATCAACCAATGAATGGATAAAGAAAACGTGGTATGTATACACAATGGAATTTATTCAACTATAAAGAGGAATGAAATTATGCCATTTGCAGGAAAATGGATAGAACTGAAGATCATCATGTTAAGTGAAATAAGTCAGGCTGAGAAAGACAAAAGTCACATGCTCTCTCTCATATGTGGAATCTGGACAGTAGTGTTAAACAGGGACTGTTAAGGGGTGGGAATGAGTGGAAGGGGGAGGGTGAAAGGAGAGAGTGAAGAGGGAGTGAATATGTTTGAAGTACTTTTATATACATGTATGAAAATAGAGTATTGAACCCTGTTAACAATTGTTTTAAAAGGAGGCCAAGGGGGATAAGAAAGAGTAATAGAGGGGGTGAATTTGACCAAAGTACATTATATACATGTATGGAAATAACACAATGAAACACCTTTGTACAACATTCACTAATGAAATATTTTTAAAAGAATAGATTTTAATGTTTTTCTACACAAAGAATGATAAATTGGGGGCTGTGGTAGAGCTCAAACTCAATGGTTAGAGCACTTGCCTGGCTCTGGGTTCAATCCCCAGAACACCGAAAAAAAAAAAAAGATAGATATGCTTGTTAGCTGAATCTTTTTATAGTACATACATAGATCAAAACATCCCATTGTGCTCCACAAATATGCACAATTATTTGTTGATTAAAAATAAAAAGATCTGAGCATGAACCTCCCCTATTAGACCAATCAGGGGTGACTAGGTCACATGAGCAAAGATGAGTCCACTTATCTGTAAGGCACCACACAGCAGCTTTTCCCACCAAAGGGACTGGACAGGAAATTTGAGACATCCTAGCAGGTCCAGCATACTATGAACATTTAAATTTTGAACTTTGTTGATGGAAAGGTAACACATTTACATAGTTTAATGTTTTAAGAATGTAAAAATACACACAGTGGGGAAGCTTTCTCCTACTCTTGCACCCCATCCCTTCTCTTCTTAGCAACTGAGCAAAGTTACCATTTTCTAATGCATCCTTCCAGAGATATTTTATATAAAGCGATACATATATAAATTCTTTCCCCCATCCTTTGCTTTTTTTTAAAAAGGTGTCTTCTTCTTTGTTTTGGCAGTGCTGAGTATTGGACCCAGAGCCTCAAGCATTCTAGGTAGGTGCTACACTGAACTACACCTCTAGCCTCATACGTGTTTTTATAGCTCTGCTTTATGATATGCCAAAATGTACTTAATCGGTTTCCTGTTAATAAATATTCAGATTGTTTTCATTCTCTCACAATCCTGCATTGAAAAGCCTTGCAAATACGCATATGGTTTTTCAGGTCCTTCTGCTATGTATATCCCTTAGGAATTCTTATCAGGGAGTCTGGGTACCTCTTAGAAATCAGCAGGTATAGAATTCAGGAGGACAAATTCAAATTTGGAAACAGAAAAGTTTGTATCTTTATTTTCATTAACCTCCAACTGGAATTTAACATTTCCTTTCACTATGAATGCAGGCAACAAACTCACAGTAGTTAGCAGGATCTGCAACTCTTTCATATGATTGAAGATATTTTTGAAATGTCATTTACACTCACCCCCACTTGGAAGGTAGTTATTAGATTTTCCATTAGATCTGGTTATGTGGTATATATTAATAAAGAAGCACACACAATATTGTAGCACACATTTGGTTTTAAAAAATATTTCAAGCAAAGTGCCAGTGACTTAAGCCTGTAATCCTAGCTACTTGGGAGGCAAAGAGCAGGAGTCTCAAAGTTCAAGGCCAGCCAGGGTTAAAAGTTATCAAGGCCCCATCTCAACCAATAAAAATGTTAGGTGTGGTAGTGAAAGCCTGCCATTCTAGATACACAGGAAGCATGAGTAGAAGAATTTCTGACCAGGCCCAACTTATACCCAAAATTACAAATCTTAAAGGGCTGGAGCACAACACAAGGCCCAGAATTCAACCCCCAGTCACACACACACACACACACACACACACACAATTGGTATTGGCATTTCAATGCAATTGCTTTATCATTTATTTTATTGTGATAAACAATATATAATTGTATTGGCATTTCAATGCAATTGCTTTATCATTTATTTTATTGTGATAAACAATATATAATACCACCTAAATAATTTTTAAGTTTACAGCATAGTGGCATTATGTATATCCACATCGTTCTGCCGCGGTCATCATCATCCACATCTGCAATTGTTTCATCTTCCTAAACTGAAACTCTGCACACGTTAAACAAATCCGCAGAATCTGCTCTCTCCAGCCCCTGGCCACCATTGTTCTACTTCTGTAACTATAATTTAGACTGCTCCATGCTACTACTGCTAGCTCATCTGAGTGCAACAACACAGCATTTGCTTTATTTCACTTAATATGGTGTCCTCAAGGCTCATCCTACAAGTAATTGGCTTTTCTCTTAACATATTATCATCCATGCTATGGCATGTGTCAGAATTTCATTTCTTTTTAAGAATAAATAATGTTCCATTGTATTTATATGCCAATTTTACCTATTCTTTCATCCATTGGACATGTGGGTTATTTCTATCTTTTGCTTATTGTGAATACTGCTGCTGTGAACCTTGGTGTGCAAAAGTCTCTTTTTCTCAAATCTTTTTTTTTTTCTTGAGACAGGATGGCCATATGTAGCCTAGGCTGTCCTTGAACTTGTGATCCTTTTGTCTCAGGCTTCCCTGCGCTGAGATTACAGGTGTGCCCCATCCCTGGCTTACTTCCTTAATTCTTTTGTTTACATACCCAGAAGTTGAATTACTGGATCATATGGTAATTCTGTTCAATTTTTTGGGGGTGGTCAGTATTGGGGCTTGAACTCAGGGCCTTATGCTTGCAAAGGAGACATTCTATGACTTGAGCCATTCTGCCAGCCCTTTTTGTATTGGGTATCAAGATAGAGTTTTGTGAAATATTTACCCAGGCAGGCTGGATTCGAACCATAATCCTGATCTCAGCCTCCTGAGTAGTAAGGATTACAGGTGTGCACTGCTGTCCCTGGGCTCCTGTTTGATTTTTTGAGAAATATGAATTTATTTCCTTTTTTGTGGTACTCAGGCTGGAATTCAGAGCTTCACACTTGCTAGGCAGGTGCTCTACCGCCTGAGCCATGCCTCCAATCCTAGTTTTACACATCCAAAATATGATTCTGTCTAATCAAGAAACAACATAAGCACATATGTAAATGTCACAGGGAACCCCCAATACAACTAATACATACTAATAAAAATGTTAAATTAAAAAAAGACCACTCAGCGGAGCCCACTCTGAACTCAAAACAAAGCAAAAAACAATGATTCTGATCAGGTGTGGTGGTGCACGCTTGAAATCCCAGGATGGGGAGGCTGAGGCAGGAGGATCTCGAGTTTGAGGCCATCCTGGACTCTATAGGAAGACCCTGTCTCAAAAAAAAATTCTAAGAAGGCTCTCATGGGCTTCTGGAGTTATGTGGTAGAGCACCTGTCTAGTAAGCGTGAGGCTGAGTTCAAACCCTAGATACCAGAATCCCATTACAGGTGCTTTATTTTGTGTGCCCGTCTCAGCCACTAGATGGGGGACTTCTTAACAAGGACTGTGTTGTTCCCTCTGTCCCCCCTCAGTAAGTCTCTTACAGGTGTAGTAAGCGCAGTCAGCGCCTAGGGGGCGCCTTGCAACCCAGCACTGATTTGAAAAAAAAAATGCAGACGGTAATTGCAGACTTCAGGCTAGAGGGAGAGTTAGGCCTGAGGGTGGCTAATTAAAGGCACCCCAACTCCTGACTATGCGGCCTTCTAAACGTGTGACCAGAGGCAAGGGAGCTTGCCTTGGCCCTAGCTTCTTCAGGAACATACAGGCTGGCCTTTAGCACAGCGCCTGACACATAGGCACTCAATAACTTTGTCCTCGTTACCTGTGACAGTGGGCAACCTGCACTCAGAGCTTCCGTAAGGATGCTTCCTCTCGGCCCTGGGGACCGCAGCAGCTGGGGACCGCAGCAGCTCACAGTCTCTCTGGATGGAGTTGGGGACACTTAGCCAAGAGCGAACGCGTCTAGACCGGGCAGCAGCGCTTGGTCCTCCGCACGGGCAGGTGGCGCTAGCGCGAACTTGGACAGGCGCGGCGCTCGGGCCGGGTTCCTCTCGGCGGCGGCGCACGGCCGTCTCCCGTCCGTGGGGCGGGGACGCGGCGGCGGTAGTAGCGGCTCCGTGTCGCCGGAGCCGAAGCGCGCAGGCCCGTCCCGGCGACCGGGGGGCGGGCGGGGCGGGGGCGTCATGTGGTTCATGTACGTGCTGAGCTGGCTGTCGCTCTTCATCCAGGTGGCCTTCATCACGCTGGCCGTCGGTGAGAGTGCGCGACTCCGGCCCGCGCGGGCTCCCGCCCCGGCATCTGTGCTTGCCGGGGGTCGCATCGTGGAGGTTCCGGAGCGAGTCGGAATCCCTACTCCGTGCTCCGGTCCCTCGCTGCCTTCCAGGCCCGCCTTGTCCTGCCCCTCCTGCTGAGCCCAGCAGCCCGGCCTGACCTCGGGTCCTGCCAGGTGTCACAAAGTCCGCCCAGCAGTGCCCGGGAAAGGCAGACTTAAGTGCCTTGCCCTTGCCCGCGAACCGCCAACCGCTCCCACCCTCGCGGCCCACCGCGCCGAACTTTCCCCGACGCATACTGCCGCCCTTTCGCCTCTGGGGCTTGTACTTGTGCCCTCCGTCTGTGACAGTGGTCCCCCCTCTGTGTAGTTCCTTCTCGACCTCAGTTGAGATCTTACCTCCTCTCGGAAGTCCTCCGTAGGAGTTTGACGGTCCATCAGTGTCATGTACTCGTCCTGAAGTAGCATTCTCTGGGAACATCTGACTCCCCTCCTTACTTGTTCCCACCACCCTGGGTCAGGGAAAGGGACCTGGTCTGTCTTGTTCTGCTGTATTACTCAGCCTCAGCACCTGACTTAAACTAAGTGCCCTGCAGGTATTTATTGAATGAGAGAATGAAATCACAATTTTCTGGGTCAGAGGTTAGCATTGCCTGGAGTCAAATGCAGGCTTCATTCATTTTCATGAAGTCTCTCCTTAGGTGCCCTGACAAAGTTCTGCTTCTCCAGACTTGGAAGGGCAGCGCATGGGTTGTTTGACTTGTTTCTGACTTTCTGGAATCTGCGAAGGGTTGCTGGGGACTTGGCTGTCCAGAGAGGTAGGATCAAGATGGTGCGAATGACCCTGGCTGATGTTTTCCCTGCTTGCCCCTCTCCCCATCCCCAGCGGCTGGACTCTACTACCTGGCAGAACTGATAGAAGAATACACAGTGGCCACCAGCAGAATCATAAAGTACATGATCTGGGTAAGTGGCAGTTTCCCTAAGGATCCCCCTCACTCTGTTGCCCAGCCTCCAACAGGAAGTGATGCAGTTTGGCCTTGATGCTGAGAACCCTGTCTGCTGTTTCCTGAGAGTGCCACTCCCACCTCCCTATCCTTAGCTTTGTTTTTTTAGATCATAACTGGGCCCAGATCTTTCCTGGCCTCCTTCCCCAAGTGGCATTGCTTCACTGCAGACCTTGTTCTTGGTTTAAGGTGTCAGCCAAGTGTACATTCTCTATTGACAGGACCATGCCTTAGCTTTCGCTTGGCTGTCTCCCACCATCTGTGGCCCCTTGCTCTGCGCCTAGCATTTAGTACGTGGAAGAACCATAAGGACAGTTTTTTGCTTTGTTTTTGTTGATTCTGGGGTTTGAACTTACAGCTTCCCACTTGCTAGGCAGACACCGTACTACTGGAACCATTCTGCCAGCCCTTTTTTGTGTTAGGTATTTTCAAGGGTCTCTTGAACTATTTGCCCAGGTTGGCTTTGAGCTGTGGTCCTCCTGATTTGTGTCCTGAGTAGCTAGGATCATAGGCCTGAGCCACTGGCAGCCTGGCTCCATAAGGACAGTTTTGAATGCTTGCTCACTGCCCTCTTTCTAATTGGATTGAGTGTCTTGTCCTAAGGGGACGTCTCCCTTGGCCCTGGCCCTGCACTCCTCTAGCTTCATGGGAGGCTTCTCTTCCTGAAGATAGAGTCCTTGCCAGTCATGTCAAGGCCACACAAGTGACTGCTGGTGGACAGATTCCTGCCAGCTGCAGGGAAGCCTAGGAATTGGGGTGGGAGTGCATTTGGACAAAGAGTCCATCACTCGTCAAGTCACCTGGTATCCACAACCACTTCCACTCTGGGCAAGGCCTGAGGTTGGAAATCAGTGATAGATGCGAGACTGTAACTGTCAGGTCTTGGTTCAGAGACAGCCTGTGGGTGTTGTCAGTACAGGAATTAGACTTTCATTCATCCAGTTGTATTTGTAAAGCACTGACTACCACAGGTCCTTTAGAAGTGTTTTTTAACACTGCAGGGATGATTCATTATTGGGTTATGTTCAACACTTTTTAAAAAAGATGAAATAGGGACTTGGGCATAGCTCAGTGGCAGAACACATGCTTAGCATGCGTGAGGCCCTGGTTTTGATCCCCAGCAGCAAAAAAAAAGACTAAAATTGAATATGTGCTCTGATCACATGTATGTATTATATATCTGTGTGTTCGGGTCAATGTGTAAAATGTTTTTCTTCTTGTGGGTTGCTGTCAAAAATCTTTGACAAATGACATTCAAAGGTATTGCCTTTGCTTGCTTAACAAGTGCAAAGCCCTGAGTTCAAACCCCAGCTCTGAAGAAAAAAAAGTAGGTGCTTCCCTTTGGAAGCTGAGAGTCTAGCTGGGGAGGCCTATGACTATGAAACAAGGAGACTGAAGCCCGAACTTAGTGCCACCCAGAGTAGGCTTGGGTTGGGGATCTGAATAGGTTACCTGAAGGTTCCCTGCACCTTGTGCCTCTGGTTGTTTCAGTTCTCCACGGCTGTGCTGATTGGCCTCTACGTCTTTGAGCGCTTCCCCACCAGCATGATTGGCGTGGGCCTCTTCACCAACCTTGTCTACTTTGGCCTCCTCCAGACATTCCCTTTCATCATGCTGACCTCGCCTAACTTCATTCTGTCATGTGGTGAGATGGGACAGAGTTGGGGAGGCAGCTGACATAGTTGAATGTGCTCAGCTCACTCCTAGTCACTGAAGGGGATACAGAGGAGGCAAGCCTGGAGGAAAGGCTGGTTGGGAATATGGGCTTCTCACTCTTGAGAACTGGGTTGTCTGCCTTGGCCCTAGTGCCTAGAACTTAGGGCTGTGGGGCTCAGGCTTGGGAGGGATCTCCCAAAGAGGTAAGCTTGACGAAGGGTTTGAGAAGGGAGAGGTTGTGGGTTGATGGAGGCAGGGCCCCCAACTGAGAAGTTTCAGTCTCTAAGAAACACTTGGCCTGAAAAGCCTGAAGCTCTCCCTTGGCATGTATACAGCTCCCATCCAGTCCTTTGGCCCAAAGTCATGATCGAGACTGGAGCCTCAGGTGCTGTAAGGCCCCTGCAGACACTGGCCTGGTACGAACGAATGTCTCATGGGGGCTGCCTTTTCTAGTCACATTCTCAGTGGTTGCAGTTGCTTCAGGATTGGATCTCAGCCTTCTTGTTTTTACCCTGCCACCACTTTCTGACCTGGGAAGTTATTTACCCTCTTCGGGCTTTAGCTACTCCACCTGCTCAGAGGTGATGTTTTTGATAGGATTATAGATGTTCATAATGCGGGTTTCAGAAAGTGTTTGGTCAAGAGCTTTGCCATTTCTCCTGCTAATTGTTATTTGGCCATCCTAATTGTGGAACAAGGTATCAGATAGAATTGAGGATGTTTTAGAACTACTTTTCTAGATGTGTGGAAGATCCTGGAAAGAACGTTGTTATCAACAAGGAGGGCATAGTGTTAAAGTAAGGGCTGGTTTCTTCCCTGAGTGCCCTGATGGGATTTCAGCATGGAATTTTGTTGAGCAGGGTTTCAGGTGGGAAATCTTCCCCTGGAGACCAGGCACCTTCCATGTCACCCTAGGGAAGAATTCCCCCTGCCCAGGCTCCCCTGGCTTCCTTTTGTCACTCATTCAGCCTAACAGTTTTTCTGAAAAATATTGTGGGCACCAGGCACCATCCTGGTTTTGTGTGTGACTAGATATAGCAGAGCCATGGTCTTTACATTAGAAGGTGTGAGGCAAGAGGGGAGAAAAGAGAATCGGTAGTAGCTATAAGGTATACGTGAAGGGTTCAGATTCAGGGAACACATTCTTTCTAGTGCCTTCCCTTTATTCCACCTTGGGAATAACAGGATTTCCTGTTTCTCAGCAGCCTGGCCCCAGAATCTGCTCACTTGCTTTTTTTCATAAGTTAGCTTAAACTCTAAGGAGACCAGAACATAACCAGTTCAGACTAGTGTTCTCACCCTGGACAAGATGGGAAAAGACCCCCCTCCCCAGCATCTATGGGAACCCTAAGACTACCTTAAAATCTCTACAAACTGTGCTCTTCTATTCCCAGGAAGTGAGAGCACCTTTATTTGAGGAAGCCTTCTCCCTCCTTCCCAGTTTGGAGTAGAATCCCCCCACACCCCCCAGGGGGAGGTGTCTACCCACCTATGACTTTCTTCCACCTACTGCCCATGGGGGAACTTTCTTTAGGACTTACATCCAAATAAAAACCAGGTTCATCATTGCAGTACTTTGGATTATGTAACACAAAAGATTCATTTTTATAATGTGCCAGAGCTTTCTTACCTACCATCTAATTTTACTTATAATGCCCTCTGCAGTGGGCAGGTTGGGGCTGATTCTCCTGACTTGACAAATGGAGAACTGAGTTCTAGACAGTTCTGTAATTGACCAGAGCCATCCTCTTGAGTCTGGTGCAAAGTCAAGTTTTAAGTCTCAGCTCTCAACTCCCAGGGCCTTTTGAAGTTTAGAAGTCTAGCTTTGCATTATTCCCCCCAAACTGACTGACTCTTCATTCCCCAACAGGACTAGTGGTGGTGAATCATTACCTAGCATTTCAGTTTTTTGCAGAAGAGTATTATCCTTTCTCAGAGGTAAGGAGTGTTCGGCACATGCAGTCAATAACGGGAACAAGGGTGTAAGGGGGTTTGCATGATTTGCTTTGAGAACTTAGCTGTGATCTGAAACTGTGTCTGTTTCGGGATCACATTTTTAAAAACATGAAACACAATACAGATGATTTTTCAAAGCAGTGTGGCTGAGGAACAGAAGGGGTCCCTTTGGCTGAGGTGGGAGGACTCTGCTTACCCCTATGGAATCCTTTGAGTCTCCCTAGGCCTACGAGAGGCACTGGCTGGCCTGTGTGACAGATCTCACAGGGCAGGGTAAGCTGCAGCCCCAAGCACTAGCTCCCTGCCAAGTGGCTTGCCAAGGTTTTCTCCTCCTGGGAGTTCTGCGCACCCTACCCTCTAGTTTGAAGCCCCAGGAAAGAACAAGGTCACTTCTCTGGGAAGTGGCCTCATTCAGTCATCTGTAGTGTCTGTCTTTCCCCTGTAAATTATCTCCAGTCTGAGAATGTCCTGCTTCCTGGGCCCTGGCCTTTTCAAAGGTTATGGACAGGTCTTCTGTGTACCTTGTACCAGCTCTCCAAGACCTATGGTGACCATCCACAACCTACTGTTGGCACCTTTAGGGCACCCACTTTTCAGTTTCTCTTGTTGCCAGGTCCTGGCCTATTTTACTTTCTGCCTGTGGATAATCCCATTTGCATTCTTTGTGTCACTTTCGGCTGGGGAGAATGTCCTGCCCTCTACCATGCAACCAGGAGGTGAGAAGGGGTTTGGAAGGGACCAGGTGGGGGCGTACTAGCAAGGCCCAAGTCAGTTGGGTGAACTAGAGCCCAGCCCTGTGATGAAACACTGGGGCTCCAAGTTGGGAGAACTATGTTCACATGCGTGCACACATCCACAACCACTCTCTTACTCACACTCATCTCCTGCCTATGTCTCCACAGATGACGTGGTCTCCAATTACTTCACCAAAGGCAAGCGGGGCAAACGCTTAGGGATCCTGGTTGTCTTCTCCTTCATCAAAGAAGCCATTCTACCCAGCCGTCAGAAGATATACTGATCCCTTTGGGGAAAGCATGTGGGCAAGATCAGGAGAGTTGGGTCCCCTGGACCTCTGTTCTAGTAGGGGCTGGGAGCCTAGAGGGTACCCAGTGCCAGCCTGGGCTTCCCTCCCCTTAGTTTTGAAGCCCCATCCCAACCCTCCTTGGGGCTCGACTTGGCTCAGATCCGATGCTGCCAGGGGCTGTAACCTCACAGGGCACCAGGGAGGGTGGCAGAGCCTGTTTAGCCAGAAGGCTGTGTCCCCAGTCTTCCCTTCCCCCTGCCAACATGGGCAGGCAGGGCAGGGTCTGTGAAGCTGGAGAATAGCCAGTGACAAGTTCTCTGAGCAGATGGCTGCAGGGACGGCCATGGCATGGCACTTCCAAGAGAAATGGTATTTGCTGTTGAACTGTGATTTTTGTCCAATTGCTGATTCCCATTTGAATAAAGATTCTAGGTGGCATTGTTTGCCTTAATATCCCAAAAGTTCATCTTCCTTTCTTCCTGCCAACCTTCTGCCTGGACTGGACAAGTTTCCTGCTGTAGGGACTCCTCTTCTGGGTCTAGGCTTATCTTTCTGAAGGGACTGTTCTTGTGGTCCTTAGTGAAAAGGTAGCAGAGATGAGCTGCAGAGCCTGGGTAGGGAGTGGAGGGTGGAGGATGAAGGCAGCCTGTCTTATGCATCTCCCTCTTCTAGCTCTTCTTTTCTCAAGGGTCTGCTATTGTGAAGCTGGAGGTAGGAAACAGTTGAGGACTGGGATAGCTTTTCAGAACATCTACAGTATCCTATTTATAAGTCTTCTTCTGAGGAAAAGGAGTGGTTTCTGGCTAAATTCTGTCTCAGGCTCAAAGAAAAATAAAAATTGGCTTTCAGGCAGCCTGGACTATAGCCTGTTATTTAAGAATTGGGGTTGTTGGGAGAGGCTGTTTGTCACTCTAGGAGCACCCGAGGTTTGGCACTCTCCCGGCTCCTGGGGAGATGATCTCTGCCTTCTGAGAAGGCAGGCCATGTCTTGGACACAGACCAGCATTTGTTGACCTTGCACTCCAACTACAGTGCCTTGCAAGTGCTCAACAATACATATGGGAATGAAGTCCCCATGAGAGCCATCACTGGCCATATCATATACCTCACAGCGAGGCAGGCAGGTGAAGAGACGAACTGTGTATGTGTGGCTCCTTTAAGCCACTGGGAAGACCCCTGTCTTCTTTGTTATCATGCCTGAAGTCCCACTGTAGTGGTTTCCCCATTTCTGTTTCTTAAAAACACCAGCCTTCCCCTTTACCCGAGAAGACTAGCACATTTTGATCTTCTGATGTGCAAGAGATTGCCAGACCCTTTTCTGCTATGTAGGTAAGGCAGAGGACACAAGGCTTGGTGTCCTCCTCCTCACCCTGATGGTGTGGCTTCACCCCTCTTCACTCTTGCCAGTCAGTGCTCTCCTAGGCCAGGGGCCTTCATGAGCTAATCCAGTGGAATCTTCATACTTTAATTGAATCTCAGTGGCAGGTGATGTGGCTTATTACCCCATGCTTTTTGAAAGACACTTCCCTAGCACTTCTGTAGCTTGGTGTCCCTCTACTTCTCTGGCTGCCCTCACGGTCTCCTGTGCAGGCTTCTTTGCTCACCACATGCACATTGGGGCCTCTCAAGGTTCTGTTATAGGGTCCCTGGGGAAGCCCATCCATGCTGATGGCTTCAGGAGCTCTACCAAGGAATGAAGTGTTAACCTCCAGCCCCAGCATCTTTCATCTTCTGAATCACAGCCTTCTGGGTACACAGACAACTCAAGTCCATGGACCAGATGGCACCTTTACTCTCCTTCACAAAACTGCTCCTTTTGAGTATCTGCCACAGCCCCAAAATCATTCAGGAGCCAGACAAACTTTCTATTCCTTTTTTTGTGTCCTCCACATCCAATCTCTAAATAACTGTCAAGTCTGTCTGCTTAATATCTCTTGGTTTGAGCCACTCCCACTACCAACTTTCCCCTGGTTTATTGTGACAGCCTTCTGTGCTTCTTTATCTGATAGGCAGCTGGAGTTGTCTTTCTAAAATGCACAGTTGACCAAGTCACTCCCTGGTCTAAAACCTTGCACGGCTCCCCACTGCCCTCAGGATAAAGTCCAGACCCCTTAGCATGGCTTGTGAGACTCTTTGTCCTGGTCCCTGCTTGCCTATCTGGCCTCATCACTTGCCTTCTTGCTCTCAGTCCCAGCCTCCTGTATGCAGAGATGCCATGGCTCCTTTGCCACTTGGATTTCCCTTTCTTCTACTCACCTTGTACTTCCTCTGTCAAGTCTTGACTTAGATTTTACTTCCAAGGACTATCCTTTGAATATCCCCCCTTCTCCCCCATCCTCAACTCAGATCACTCTGGGCTTACTTGCCTAGTTTATGGTCTGTCTCCCTACTAGACTGTAAGCTCCTTGGGGGCAGTGACTGTCCTTGAATTTTTGTATCAATGGTGTCTACTTTGGCACCTGGCACATGGAAAGTTCTCAATAAATGATTGTTTAATGAATGACCAGTGATGCGTACAAGGAATTGCAGGGGATCCAGGATGGCTTCCTGGAGGAAGTGCAAGTGCTCTTGGAGTCTCCTGCCAAAGCTATAGATTCTCTCTCTTCCTAAATGTGCTGCCTGGGTCTCCTTGAAGTGCAGACACCTCAGTGGCAGCTGGGAGCAAGGGATGGCCCTGCTGGAGTAACACATCAGTTGGCCTTTACCTAGTCTGGATCTGCAGGTGAAGAGTGAGGCCTTAAACCCAGAGCAGGAAGGATTTAACCTGAACAAGGGGCAGATTTCTTCCAAGGTCCCTCTGTCCTGGAAGCCTTGTCCCTGGTGGGCTGTGTTAGGGGTGGGGATCAGTGTCATTTACATTGTTAGGACCTAGGATAGTAACTGAACCCCCACTGTGAACCTTGGGGTTCTGCCATAGTTTGTATTTCCTGGGGGAGCCAAGAGATTGTGAGAGAAGAGAGGTCTGTAATCTGGGATTTTGGGGGCCAGAGGTGTGGTGGGGGAATGAAGGGGACTCCTGTCCTTAAGTTTGGGACTGGGAAATCAATAGGCATTCTTTCCCCTTTCTTCCCCACCACAACACGAATCACCACACCTCAGCCTTCACTGGTCTGCCTCAGGTAGAGGCCATTAAAATAACTTTATGGGGGTGATGAGGGGGGAGGGTAGGGTGGGGAGCACCTGATGAGCTTGCAAGGCTGTCAGGAAGGCTTCATCAAATGTCTCACGAAGGTTCATAGCCAGAGTGTCAGTCCAGAAGGTATCCTTGCCCAAGTGTCGCTTCTTGAGCACGTTCACTATACTGATGGGATATAAGCCCTGGGGCACCTTCATCCTGTATGGCTGTACCCTTGGGTATAGTGCACGGATTATCATCTCAAAAGGCAGCTGGGGCACAGGCGCCACCAAGTGGCCATCCACTGTGCGCAGAAGTACATGGTCATCTGCATCCCTATTCACCTCCAAAAAGCTGCTGAAGTCATGCTCCTTGTGGTGGTCTGGATGCACGCCCAGGCGGATGCCCTGTGGGCAGCTGATATCTGTAGCGGGGGATCTGGCAGGGTTATTACTAAGATTCCATGACTTGGGCCGACTGATGGCGGGCCACTTGTAGATGGGCTTGGGCAGCACCTTAGGCTGCAGTATGCTCAGCAGGCGTGCCTCCACTGAGCATTGGAAGGTCTTGGAAATCTGAGTTCTTGGAGTCTTGGAGTGGGCAGAGGACCAAGGTTGGGCACCAGCCTCTTGCTTGGTGTTGGGTACCAGGGTCTGGCATTTATACTTGGAACGGAGCCACTTTTTGAAATTAGCTTGTCTCTGAATTTTCTGTTCTTTCTGCAACAACACAAGGCATACAACAGTGGTGGAGGGCTGCTCCTGTGCTTAAGAGGAAGGAGGCCCTGCCTATAGCCCTTTGAAACCTCAGGTCTCATTGGCATAATACCCTCCTTGCAGCAGGGAAACCCTGGGTTTGATGAGAGAAACGCCTGCTTTATAGGAGCTCTTGTTTGGAAGGAGACAGCCTGTACCCTTAGGGAGTTCTCAGGCTGATGGGAAGACAAACCCGCCCCCATACCCAGAGGAGACCTCCACCCTGATGAAGGAGCTACATCGTCTGACCTAGGGGAGCCTTCACCTTCAAGAGGGAAACAGAGTACCTACCTAGGGAAAACCTCAAGCTTTTGGGGAAAGTCCCCTTCCCCCCCAAAAGGAATCCCTAGTCTGCTAGTGTAGACATGTCCTGCCATAAGAGAGCCTCTGGTTTGATTGAGGATAAAGGCAAATGAAAAGTGCATACTACATTACATCTTTGACCCCAGAAGGAGAAAGTAGACAGGTTTGGAAGACCTGGAATTGGATAGAGCTAACCTGTACAGCCGTTTTGGAAGTGATAGGCCTTGAGAAGTAATGTAGGAGAGGGAACAGTCAGTTGGCTCCCAGGCTGGATGACAATGACTCAGTAGAGCTCTGTCCTTGCCTCCACTGGAATTGAACCTTCCACCTGTCACAGAACCTCCCTACATTATTGTCTCAGTGTCTCACTTCCAGACTGTTGCTAAGCAATCAGGGCTTTAGAGATTGACCCAGCTCGGGGGTAGACTCTGATTAGGCTAAGCCAATCATCCTAATTCCATCAGCCTTGCCCCAGACCTAAGTCAATCAGCATATGGCCTCCTTTAGTTCCAGTCACTGGAACAAGAATGGACATATGATCCAGTTGAGGCCAAAAAGAGATTCCCTGAGTAGAGATCTGCAAGGAGCTTCTGGGAAGAGTTAGGTCCACATGAAACAGATGGGCTTTGCTTCCTCTGGACATGTGTGTGACTGAGGGCTGGGTGACACAGACAATGAGGAATACATGAAAGAAAGGCAGTTGGAACAGAGCTGGAATCATGGAATCATTGTGGGGCCCATCCCACACACTTCAGGATCCACTTAAGATTCCAAGCATCTTTCTGAGTTTTCTGTTTTGCTTTTTGTATTATGCTTATTATGTAATTATACCTGGTTAAAATCCCCCTTTTGCCCTAGTCAAAGTCCTTCATTAATATGGATCCCTGCCAAATGTCTAGTTTGTCAATCTCCAACTCACATTGGATCCCCGAATTTGCTGTTTTCTGTGCCCCTGTACCTTTACACATGGCTATTTCTTCTGCCCATCAGCACTTCCCTACTTCATGTGGCCAGCCCATCCTCAAAGACTGCTGTAAGCATCCCTCCCAGCACCTTCGTGAATTACCATCCCCGCCATGGGACCATAACCTGCCTCCTCACTAGTCTCTAAGCAACTTGAGTGGGGACCACACCCGCACCTTGTTGACTTTGGAGCTTCAGGACCTAGCAGGTGCCTAGCGTAGAGTGAGTGCTGAGTGTCTTTTGAGAAGGATGAATCTTTTTAACCAGAGTGTGAGTCCCAATGATAGGCAGGGCCCTAGCCTCATTCGAGATTCTCATCCTGAAGGGGGCAGTACATTAGGATGGACTCATGACTACTTGCTAATTTAGGCTGCCTGAAAAGTGGCTTATAAGAGGAATTTCAACAGAATAGGGAGGGGTGGGGTGGGGTCGGGTGGAGAAGGGAACTCTCATTCTGGGTGGGAGTATTTCTAACATTCTTCTCACCACAGCACGTGGGTCCCTGCCTCTGCTCACAAACCTGCATGGCAGCAGTGCCTGGCCTTGCCCTGTCTCACTCTTACTTGGCACTCAATCAGGTAATCGTGCTCCATGAGGGTCAGCTTGTCCTTGAGGCACTTCAGTTTCTCCATCTCACAGGCAAAGTCCTTCTTGTCCCGTTTCCACATGGCATCCTTCAAGAACCTGGTGCCAAGGTGGAGGATATGTCATCATACAGTGATTGAGCTTCCACTGGGATGGAAAGATGGTGGCTGCTGAGGGCCTGGATAGCAGGGAGGAGCTGCAGATGGGGATGAGCAAGATGACCCACTGCCCAGGGGCCCTCTGGTGTACTACTTCCTTTGAGAGAAAAGAGGAGAGGTTTCTGATGGTCTGGTCACCATCCTCCTGCAGAGGAGCCAGGAGTCCCAGAGAAAAGAAGGAGGGCAATTTTCAACCTAAAGGGGTGAGGCCTCCCAAAAGTCCTGCCAACAATATCCTGGCAGGGGGCTTTCTCCACGGACTTATCTCCTCATCATCTAGCTTCCTAGACCCTCCTCTTAAGGCCCAGCCTTGGGTCAAGGCCCTGAGGGAAGGAGAAAGAGAAGGTCTGCAAGAGAGGGAGGGGTAGTAGATTTCTGGTAATGCCCATGCCCTCACCGAGCACAGGCGCGGTAGTTCCGTATTTTGCAGTAGTCAATGGGCTTGCAGCCGATGGCGTCTTGGGCATAAACATTGGCCCCACTCTGTACCAGGACCTTTATACAGCCCAGCAGGCCCTCAAAGGCTGCCAGGTGCAGGGCTGTGGAGCCGTTGCATGTCTGACTGTGGAGGGCCCCATCACAAGAGAAGAGGGCAGAAAAGGACAGGGGCACCTGCTCATCAGATAGGCGGGCAAATCACCTTCCGGGCCCCACTTTGCCACCACCTACTGGATGAGCCTGGCCATGTCCCCTCATTTCTCTGAACCTTATGTCCCTCTACTGTAGAAGGAGAGATTGGACTAAATGAATAGTGGAAATCTGGCTATTAGAGGTATAAGACAGTTAAGAAATGCTGGAAGGAGAGTTAGGTTGATTCAGAGATACCAACTTCATACACTCTTAAACCAGCCAGCGGCCACTGCCCTTGTCATTGGAACTTGAGGTCTGTAGACCTGAACCTGCCTCTTCTTTGACACCCAACCTCAATCTCTGATCTTGTGGCCCTCTCTTTCCCAACACATGGCCTTTGTACTTGATGTTCCCTCTGCCTAGAACATATTTCCCTGGCTCTTTGCATGGCTGGCTCACTCAGTCTTCAGGCTGAAATCTGAGTGGCACCTCCTTAGAGGTGACTGCCTCTTCCAAAATAGGTCCCCTGCCTTCACTCCCTACTCCATTGCCCTGTTTATTCCCTTCACAACCACTTCCCATGCTCTATCAGAATTCTAGCCATTTATTTGTTTGCTAATTTTACTGCTCCTAGACTAGAATGTTGGCTTCATGAGAGGCAGGGACCATTTCTGTGTTCTCTGCTACCTGCCAATTCTGGAATAGTGCTTATTAGCACATAATGCATGTTCAGTTTTCTTTTTGATAAATATTTTGAGTGAGAAAGTACCATGCACTTTCTCAGTTATCACAGTTAGCCCATGTGATAGGCAAATTCCGTTGGAGACATTTTCAGTGGTTCCCAAACTTAGCTGCAAATTAGAAACACCAGGGGATCTTTCAAGACTTCCAAAGCCCAGGCTACAATACTGACCCATTATTCATAGTTTTGAAATGGAACACCACCATTGGTATTTTGGAAGCTTTCCAGGTGATTCCAATGTAGAGGAGTCTGGAAACCAGAGCTCTGAGGCTGAGAGGTGGAGTGACAGGCCTAAGGTCCCACCGTTTGCTAGTAAGTGGTAAAGCCAGGATGTGAACTGGGTCTTTCTGATCCCAGAGCTCAATCTCTGAACCATTACACCACCATTGTATCACTGCATTATGTAGGACCCAGCCCTCGCTCCTCTGCACCCTGAATGAATCTGCCTGCCTGCTAGGGAGTGGAGTTCCTGTCTGCCTAAGCTCCAAACTTCCCTCCTGAAACAGGCTGGACTCACGCATTGATGTCTGCCCCTTTCTTGAGCAAGTAGTGCATGCAGGGGAGAGTCATGGTCTTGTTGTCTTTACGGATGGCAAGGTGCAGAGGGGTCTGGCGATTGTGGGTGAGCAAATCCACAGGAAACTTGTATTCCTCTACTAAGACCTGCATGCAAAGAAGCTTGCCCTGCTGGGCTGCGAAGTGGATGGCAGCGAAGCCCTGTGGGGTTCACAGTGGGCAGGAGAAGGCTGAACCTGATTGGGTTCCCAGGGCCCGTAACCTAGCCTGTGTTTTGGGGTCACCCTTCCTCTGTTCCCTGTGTCACTGTCATCACTTGCGATGGTAAGTGCACCCTCATCATCAGTTCATCCTATCTCCCTGCCTCCAAGTGGGCCTCCTCAGGGAGGTGATTAGGACCGCCCACACAGTAAAGGGCCTCTTGACTTGCCCTTGGGTCAGATCTTCTCCAGGTGAACACTGTGTGAGGAGCTCTTCGCAGGGAGGGTTGTAGACCATCTCCCTACCTCCACACTCCAAGGCCTTACCTTGCCATCGGTGGTGATTCCCCTGCGGTCCCGATTCAGACAGAACCGCAGCCATTCCACATTGCCCACCTCTGCGGCGAACAGCTCAGAGTAGTTCGCGATGGCCCTGGGATCCGATGGCTCGGTGGTGCTGTCATCAGCGCGGGGCGGGGTGAGTGGGGGTGGGCTGGGCGGCCAGCGAAGGGGTGCCCGCGTGGCGAGGGCCTTCACCCCGCACCTCCCGGGGGCCGGGCGGGGGTTGCCTGGAGGCAGCATCGGCCCCCTCTCGCTCCCCCAGTGCCCGCCCACCTGGACTCCTTGGACAGGGCGCTGCTCCGGCGGGCTTTCTCTGCCCGCTGCCAGGGCTGCGTGCCTCTCCGTTCTTCCCCGCCGGAGCGCCGGGCCCCGGCCCTAGCCCACAGAGAGGCGCCGCTCCCCGAGGCCATCCAGAGGTTGGTAAGCTGGCCGCGCTCCCCCAGCCCGGAGGGGCGCCGTGCGCTCCCCGCAGCATCCCCCACGGGCGCTGCACAGCTGTCGGCAGCCGCCTCCAGGTCGTCCTCCAGGTTGTCCGCAACGGCCTTCCAGGCCGCGAGGGTCAGGGTCGGGGTCAGAATCGAGGGTCCCTGTCTGCCACCAACCCCCAGCCCCGCCGCTGGTTCCAAGCCGACCCCTCCCCAGCCGCCCTGGCCTATTGCCCTGGAAACAGCATCCAACACAGCACGCAGCTCACTTAACTTTTGTTAAGCAGAACACGGAAAAGTACAAGATGGAAATTAAAAATCGCCATCTCACCACCCAAGGAAATCACGGTCTTGAGGTATACACACATCACATTTTGTATCTCTTTTCATTTAGTGTTATATTATGAGCTGGCTCCCACTGTCATTCCACAAATGGAATGTAAATTATGATGAAACCTCAGCCCAGCATCACGGATGTGGTGCCATGTCACATGTGCTGAGGAAAGCGAAATGCCTCCACTCGGGTTGTTTCCCTGCAATGGATTCCTGAAAGTGAATTACTAGGGTAGTAGGTGTGGTGGCCCATACTTGTAATCTTACCAGTAGGGAGGTTGAGGAAAGAAGACCATGTGTTCGAGGCCAGCCTCAGCTACATAGCAAAACCCTGTCTATAAAATAAAACAAAACAAAATAAATTACTAGGTGAAGAGGCATTGATATTTTTTACCTGTTGATATGGGTTTCCAATCCCACACCAGAAAGGTTTTACATTCACTTTCACTTCCACCTGCGGTGAAGCAGTGTGGCTTTGGGCCAGTTATTGACCTCTATGTCTTAGTTTCTGCCTCAGAAAAATGGGGCTCATGCAAGTAGTGAGGCCAGTGCTAGCAGCCCAGGTACTATTTCTGCATTTGCTATTATTTAAAAGGCTACTCAAACCATTGCCAGCACTGGATGTTATGATTTTAAATAAATGTTTACCAATTTGATAGTGGAAATTTGAGTGTGGCTTTTTAACAGAGGTTAAACATTTAATCAGTGTTTTTCTCTTCTGGGAATTATCTGCTTATTCACATTGTTCCTTAAGGGTCTTACTGTGTTTCTTATTGATATATAAAATTTATTGGTGACTATGTTATATTTCTTGTCAATATTTTCCTCAGTTTGCCTTTTGACTTTTTACTGTGTATCTATGTATAAGTATAGCTATCTAAACTGTTAGGGTTTAGATATGAAGACTCCCCCAGAAGGCTCATGTGTTGAAGGCTTCGTCCTAGCTGGTAGATCCAATCATTGAGATGTGATTGGATCATGAGAGCGCTGACCTAATTACTCTCTTAATCCACTGGTGGTGAAAAGTAGGAGTCAAGGCCTGACTGGAGAAAGTAGGTCACTGGGGTTGTGCCTTTGAAGGGTATATCTTGTTCCCTTCTGTTCATCTCTTTCTCTTCTTCCCGGCAGCCATGCCCTTCTGTCTCACCATGGCCAGAAACAATGGAGCCAGTTGGTTATGGACTGAAACCTCTGAAACCAAGCGCCAAAGTAAATCCTTCTTCCTTTTAAATTGTTTCAAGTATTTTGTCACAGTGGCTAAAACAGTGACCAAGCAATACTGTTGCTTGAATTCTCACTCCTTCTAAGAAGAACAGTTCCAAGCTTAGCGGAGATGGCTCCAGGGCCATCTCTGAGCACACCTGATCTCACTGCCCACTTCTTCCCACCATCTCTCCTCTACACCCCAACAGTTCAGGGATTTGCCCTGGGAAAACTGAAGGAGGAGGGAGGGTTCCCTAAGGTTATAGAGACTTGCAGAGAGGGAAGATAATACAGATTCTCCACCCAGAAGCACCTATTCTCCTTTCTGGGAGCCTCCTCTGAGAGCTCACTTGCCCCCAACCCCACTGATCAGGAGTTGGCAGTCCTATGCACTCTCAAAACTGGCAAATCATGCTGCTTTTTGTTCCATGCAGGCCTTACTAACTGACTTCACATTAAGATAAAGTAATGATGCTTTGCAAGGATAAAAGTGTGAGAATTTCCTGGTGGCTGGGAGGATTCTGTGGCTATGGTTGCTTTTGGGGTTTTAGGGGTCATAATAATGACAACAGGTGCATTTCAGGACCTCTGAAAGTTTCTCCTGATTGTCTTCACCTGGAATATTATACAGTCCTTATGCCAGTGTTTCACATACCTGCTAGGTGATTAGGATTCTTTAAGGAGTAAAGACTAATACGAAGGACTAATACCAACAGATTCAATTTAATTGAGCTGATTTGGGGCCCAGACATTGATATTTCTAAAATCCCCAGGTGATTTTCAAATGTAGCCAGGGTTGAGAACCACTTTAAGGTATTCCTGCCATAGTCTTCTTTCTGGGGAGGCAAGAAACAGTGACCCTGAGGGAGAGGGGTCATTAGAGGGAGGCAGGAGGCTATAGGTGCTGAACAGAGACCTTAGCTAGAGTTATGCAGCTCATCATAACTGCCTGGTGGAATAAGACATTGGACCACATTTCAGGACTGACAACAGAAAATGCCCAGAGAAAGATTAAAGTCCACTTGGAAGGGAGAGGTAAGGTAAGGGAGATGGAAGGCTGGGGAGGAGGCACACTCAGAGAGGAGGGGGCGGGACCTAGAGAGGTGCTGTTGCCACACACCAGGTCCCATGCCCAAGGCCTGTTCCTCCCCCATGTCCTCTAAGCCACCTAGGATCCTCTTGAAGCTTACACTAGTTTGATTGAATTTTTGTCATTTTCAACCAAAGCCTGGCTAGTAAAAAGCTCCTGGGGTTGACCAAGTGTGGTGGCTGGTGCCTGTAATCCCAGCTACTTGGGAAATGGAGATTGGGAGGATTGAAAGTCCAAGGCCAGCCAGGGCAAAAAAGTTAGTGAGACACTATCTTAACAAACAAGCCAGGTATAATGGCATATACCTGTAATTCCAGCTCCTTGGAGGTATAGGTAGGAGGATTGTAGTTCTAATCTAGCCCAGGGCAAAAAGTGAGACCCTATTTTAAAAATAAACTAAAGCAAAGAGGACTGGGGGTATGGCTCAAGTGGTAGAGCCCTTGCCTAGCAAGTTCAAGGCCTAGTACTGGGGGGAAAAAAAGAAATAAAGGAAAAAAAAAAGGAAGGAAGGGAAGGAGAGAAAGAAAGGAATGGAAGGAAGGAAGGAAGGAAGGAAAGAAAGAAAGAAAGAAAGAAAGAAAGGAAAAGAAAAGAAAAGAAAAAGGAAGGAAGGAAGGAAGGAAAGAAGGAAAGAAAGAAAGAAAGAAAAGAAAGAAGGAAAGAAAGAAAGAAAAAGAAGTGTCTGGGTTAAAATCTTCCATTGGGTAAAATAATTGGGGCACTGAGAGGCTCCAGGGGACTTTGACATTTGTCCCTGCACTGTTGGGGAGGGGTAGGTGAGTGGGAAGAATTATTCCTGGAGCCCCAGTGGTAGTTTGTCTGTAGGGCAAACCCTCTCATGGGCCTAGGGCTGGAGGCCCACCCTCATGTGCTTACCCAAGGGTGGTAGCAGGATGGGGAAGCAGGAGGGAGGGAGGGAGATGGAGTGGGGGTGGTCGGGCCTGGATGGAAGGGTGGAGGGGTGGAGGGGTGGAGGGGTGGAGGGGTGGAGGGGTCCTCTAGTAGTGGGTCTGGGTTCTGGCTGTGGTGGTAATGGGTAGGATCGGGACTTTCAGGTCAGCATCTGGGTATCCAGGGGAAACAATGCTGTCTTGTTAGGGTGGATGGTTCCATTCAGAGGAGAAAAGAAACTTCGATGACAGGTCCTGACAGGTTAGGGAGGAAATGTCTGCATCTTGGGACCAGATTTGGAGAAAGACAAGTATCTGTTGTTCATGTATCGAGAGGTGAGAGGTCTGTTCCAGTCAGGAACATCAGAAGCACGTTTCCCAGCCACGTGCTCATTTCCCAGTCTCTCCATCATCACGTTCAGTCTGAGTACAACCTTTTCTTCAGCCTCAGAGCCATTCCAAAGGATCAGCAGAGTGTCACGTGGGCAGGTGTCTTCTTCCCTCCACTGGGTGTTTCTAGATTGGCAGTTACCACGAGGCAGTCAGATCCAGAAGGTTATTTAATAAGAAGAGAAACTGAGTCTTCTATTCATTCAGAGGATCTCAGGAGGCAGCCAGAACATAATTGTCTTCTGGACCCGAGATTTACAATAAGTTGGTATCAAACCTCTATGCTCAACCTCCACTTAAGGAATTCTGTAGACCCGCTCCCCAGGAAACAACCAAAATAGATGAAAATTATTTTTAAAATCAATGTTTAAAGTCTCTGGGCCTTGTCTTAAGGCATACAAAAATTAAGAAACATCCAAGAAAATCTACTAAATCTCAGTAAGAAGAGTGAGAATCTGTGGCATTTGAGCCATCACCCATCCGCTCCCCTCTCCATATCAGAGTGATGACCAAAGCTCCAATATGGGTAAGTGGCCAAGAAGTTTGGGCTCCTTTCCTCATCTACGAGATAGAATATGTCACTGGGAGGCACAAGATGCCAACTTGCCTCTCCTTCCTGTTCCCAGTTCCAAGTTGTAGAGGCTAAGTTCCTGGTGAGTACAGCTAAGGGATTGAGAGATCCCTTTCTCTATCCAGCCCCCCACTAATAGGGCAGATGTTCTACACAAGGCACAAGTTAAGACTATTGGGGCTCTGATCACCGTTGGCCTACCTTGCTCCTAGGGTATAGGATCCATGTTGGGAGAGGCAAATTGAGGCGACCAGAAGCTACTGTTCCTGTCCAGAACTGTGCTCATAAAGCAGGGACTCACCGAGAGAAGTGGGCTACTCTTCCTGCCCTCAGCTCCACAGCAGGGACTCGGGGGTGATGCCCAGTCAGTCCATTAGAATCCAGAGCTCCAGGTTGGATGTAGTATATCACGCCTATAATCTGAGCACTCAGGTGGCTGAGGCAGGAGGATCATGTGTTTGAGGCCAGCCTGGGCTACATAGTGGGTTTCAGGCTATCCTGGCCTTCATAGTGACACCCTGCCTCAAAACAAAAACAAAAAGAAAAACAAAGCAAACAAAATGAGAGCCAAAGATCTTCACCAAAGGAAATTATTTAATATGTAACAATGTGGGGACATTCAAGCCTAAAAACAATGTGCTCTAAAAACAATGCACACTGTGGTGGCAAGCAATTGAAAACAATCTAACCTGTTGGCCAGCTAGTTTGTCAGAGGGAACCAGAGAATGACAGCTTAGAAGTTCCCTCCGAGGGTTATTACAAACCCTAGTTTTTGAAGATTAGCTGCAAAACTGACCTCTGCAAAGGAATCAGCCCAAACAGCAGTTTATTCTCCAGGGCCTCATAGAAAATAGAGCAATAAGCTGGCAACTAGTAGATGCTAATTGGAAGGTGGATAGTTTAGCAGAGACACAGAGACAGAGTATCTTGTTTAGAGACTGCCCAGGGCTGCACCCTGTAGCAATTGGATTAGAGGCTTCATAACCAGGGGGTAAAGACATTGCTAAAATAGCTCATCCAACTCACTAAAAACAGAAGCAAATGCCAAAACAAAGTCCCAGAGGGAGAAGCAGGGAAATGAGAATCTAGAGTTGTCAAAGTCTATTACCTGAAAAAATCCAGTTTTCAATAAAACAAGAACTCAGAGGATTTGTTGCTAGAAGTCCTGCCTTATAAGAATTATTAATGAAGGTTCTTTAGGCTAGGAATAAGTGACCCCCACCATAATCTAAATCCTCACAGAACAAAAATAAAACAAATGAACAAAGAATATTTCAATATTTCCCTAGAATTAAGTCTGCATAAATATGAAATCAGTTGTGATACACTGAAATGGTACTGGTAAGTTCTAGAGCAACCATTAAGAAAAAAACTCAAGGGCTAGCAGAATGGCTCAAGTGGTAGAATGCCTACTTAGCAAGGAGCAAGGCCCTGAGTTCAAATCCCAGTACCACAAGAAGAAGAAGAAAAAGAAGAACTGCAGAATAGGCAATTTGTTGGGCTATAATATAAAGAAACTTGGAGAATATACAATGTGTACAAATTAAATGACATACTCCTGTGTAACAAATTGGCCAAAGAAGAAATCACATGGGAAATTAGGAAATGATTTGAGAGGAATGAAAACAAAAGAGAAAATCAGGGAAACTAAAAGTTGGCTTTTGAAAAGATAAACAAAATTGGTAAAACTTTTAGCTAGGCTGATAAAAAAAGAGATTAAAATTGAGAATAAAAAGGAGACATTGCTACAGAGATAAGAAGGATTACAAGGGAATATTCTGGACAATTACTGCCAACACCTGAAATAATTTAGATATTATAGACAAATTCCTGTAAGAACGCAACCTACCAAAGGAACTCAGGAAAAATAGAAAATATGAATAGAAATATAACAACTAAAGGAATTCGATTAGTAATGTAAGTGATTATAGTAATAGCACCTACCCACAAAGAACAACTCAGGCCAAACTTTAAAGAAGAATTAATACCAGTTATTCACAAACTCTTCCAAAAAATAGAAGAGCAAACAATTCTGCCTCATTCTATGAGACTTGTATTACCCCAATATTAACAGCAGACAAAGATATCATAAGAAAAAAAATCTACACACCAACATCTATTGTGTATGCAAAAATCTTCAACAAAACACTAGCAAGTGAAATCCAGTAACATATTAAAAAGGCTTGTACACCATGTCAAACTGGTGTACAATTATCCCCAGAATGCAAGTTTAGTTAACATCTGGAAATCAATGTCATATACCATATCAATAGAATAAAGGACAAAAATCTATGTTGACACAAAAAGAGTATTTGACAAAATTTCAGTTTCTCATGATAAAATACTCAGTGAATTTTGATTGGAATGAACTTCAACTTGATAAAGGGAATCTATGAAAACTCCACAGCTAATGTCACAATTATGGTGAACAACTGAATGATTACCCTTTTAGATTAGGAACAAAACAATCTACTCTTGCCACTTCTGTTCAACACTGTATTGTAAGTTGTAGCCAGAGAAATCAGGCAATAAAATGAAAATAAAGACATCCAGATTTGAAAGGAAGAAGTTAAACTATGTCTATGGATAGCATAATCTTGTACATTAAAAATTACAAGAAACCCATAAAATTTACTAAAACTAATGAGTCCAGCAGGGATGCAGAATACAAGATCAATATATGCAAATCAATTACATTTCTATGCACTAGTAATAAGTAGTCTGAAATGAAATTTTAAAAATTCCATTGACAATGGCATTAAAAGAAGAAAATACTTAGATTTAACAGAAGTACAAAGCATGTTCTCTGACAACTGTGAAACTTAGTTGGAAGAAATCAAAGAAGACCATAATAAGTAGAAAGATATTCCATGTTCATTGATCAGAAAACAATATTGTAAGGTAGCAATACTACACAAATTGATCACAGATTTAATACAATACTCATTGTAATTCAAGCTGGCTTCTTTTCGGAAATTGACAGGCTGATTTTTAAATCTATATGGAAATTTAAGGGATTCAATATAGCCAAAACTATCTTGAAAAAGTAGGAGGACTCCCAAATCCTGATCAAAACTTACTGTAAGTCTACAGTTACTGAGGAAGTGTGGTGCTGGCTTAAGGATAGACACATGTGTCAGTGGAATAGAATTGGAGTCCAGAAATAAGCCCTTGCATTAGTGATCATGTGTTTTTTTGCCAATAAAATTCAATAGGAGAAAGAATAGTATTTCCAAAGAGTGGGCCAAATGAATATCCACATGAAAAAGAATGAGGACAGGCCTCTACTTACACAGTATACAAAAATTAATCCAATGGATAAAAGACGTAACAGTGGCGCCTATAAAGCTCTAAGATAAATCTTTATGACCTTGAATTAGGCAATGAGTTTTTAGATATGACACTCAATGAAACAAAGAAAAAATAAACTAGCATACTCAAAATTTAAAGCTCTTATGCTTCAAAGGACACTATAAAGGAAGTGAAAATATAGTAAATCATTGATAAAGGCCTTGGGTCTAGAATATATGAAAACTCTTATATCTCAATTATGAAAAGGCAAACAACCCAACTAAAAATGGGCAAAGATCAAATAGACATTTTTTCAGAGAAGATATACAAATGGCAAAAAAGAACAGGAAGATATGGCGAACATCATTAACTGATAGGGAAATGAAAAAAGTACAGTGAGATATCACTTCACACATTAATATGGCTATACCAAAACAAGATACTAACAGGGTTGTTGAGAATGTGGACACATGGAACCCTTAAATATTGCTGATAGGAATGTAAAAAGTGTACAGCTGCTTTGAAAAATAGTGTGGTATTTCCTCAAAAGATTAAACTGAGCTACCATCTGACCCAGAAATTCCACTGCTAGGAGTATATCCAAGAGAAACGAATACATATGTCCAGTTTACACAAAAATGTGCAGCATTATCCATAACAGTCAAAACCGGAAACAACTTATATGTCCATAAACCAACGGGTAAACAAAAGGTGGTATATTTAGACTTCAGAATATTATTTAACTATAAAAAGAAATGACAATTATATATATTCATGTTGAATATGAATGTACCTTGCAAATACTTTGCTAAGTGAAAGAAGCCGTCACAAGAGACCACATATTGTACATTCCATTTATTTGCAATATCCAGAATAGGAAAATCCATAGTGATAGAAAGTAGTGGTTACTTGGGCTGGGTAAGGGAATGATGGGGAATGGTTGAGGGATGATGATTAGAGGTACAAAGTTTCTTTTTTAGGGTAAAGAAAATGTTCTAAAACTGATTGTGGTCATGACAACACAATTCTGTGCGTCTACTAAAAACTGTGAGCTAATCCAGTTACAGATAGATAAATTGTATGGTGTGTGAATTATATTTGAATAAAGCTGTTATTAAATTAAAATAATTCTATGCCCTGTGGACAGTCAAAGCTTTCAGAAACCAAGTAGGCTGTGAATTGTCTTGGCATGGGAGTTTTATCCTCAGAGTCTCCTTCAGTGCCAGCTCCTGATTCAAAAATTCTGACCTGGTTCTGCAACATATTGACCTAGAAATGATACTCACTCCTTTGCTGAAGTTCCACCCTCCAGTCCATCCTTCCCCTTTAAGAAGCACTCATGATTTTCTTGTAGATGGGGCAGAGAGACAGAGGAAGGGATGACATTAGAGAGCAGCACCTTCAGGAGCATCAGTCATCTTGGGTATTAGGGTGCTTTTCACCCACTTCTTAATTAGGGGACCTTCCTTAGCCTTCTGCACCCCTAGTTCTCCTACCTCCCGGTCTGCCACAAATCAAATACCTCCCAAGCATCTCCAGGCAGAGCTGTTTAAAGTCAAACATCATTTGTGGACACAGTTGCCCCTTGCATGGCCCCGGAGCTCAAGTTCCACCCAAGTTTATCAAGATATTTAACAACCACACAACAATAAATAGATCCCTTAAGAGGAATTTTTCCTGTTCCCCACGTGGGGAATGGGAGCACAGACCCCAGTTACTTCTTGTGTAGGGTTGGGGGTATAGCTCAGTGGAAGAGCACCTGCTTAGCGTACAGTAGGCCCTAGGTTCTATCCCCAGTACCACAAAGCAAAGCAAAACAAAACAAGCCTCCCAAATAAAAACATGAGGCTATTGTAAGAGTAAGGTGTAAGACACAGGCTTGAAAACCTTCTGTCCTTTCCCAGTGGCGGGAGTGGAGGGTGAGGGATGGAGCCTAGGAGCCCCCTTAGCCTGCAGGGGCTGAGGATGAGCGTGGAAGCCGTGGAAGCCGTGGGTTCGGTGCGCGGAGATGGGAGATGGCGGGCCGGTAGTGTCGGTAGCGGTGCGCGCCGGGGCGCGGGTTCAGGACCGAGCACCAGAAGGCTAGAGCGCAGTGTCGGACGCTGGGTCGTGCGGCGCCCCGTCACGGGAGTAGAACTCGTCGATCACGCTCTGCGGGATGCGCTTCAGCATCTCCTTGGGGAAGATGCGCAACAGCTTCCAACCCAGGTCCAGAGACTCGAACACCGAGCGGTTCTCGTAAGGGCCTGAGGATGGAGCGGGAGCCTCAGGGCTATGTGGGGGTGGGGTGGGGTGGGGTGGGTTGCGGGGCGACAGGAAGGTGACTTAGTCACCGCCTCAGCGCCAGAGAAGCCTCACCCTGGTTGATGAAATTCTTCTCGAACTTCTGCAGGAATTCCAGGAAGAGCAGGTCCTCGGAGGTGAGCGCTTCCTCCCCGACCACCGCCTTCATGGCCTGCACGTCCTTGCCGATGGCGTAGCAGGCGTACTGCAGGAGGGGACAGAGATGGCCGCTGCCACCGCGGGCTTACCACGCAAGCCCACGCGAGCCCATGGCCCCCCAACCTCCCCTTTGCGGGAGGACCTTTGCCGGGATTAAAGCTTATGTCCAGATGGGGCTCAAACTTGCAGCTTCTGAAAGGAGATCACCCACTCCGCTGCCCCTCTCCTCCTTACCAACTGGTTGGAGACATCTCCATGGTCCTTTCTTGTCATGCCCTCCCCAATGGCAGATTTCATCAGCCGTGACAGAGAAGGAAGCACGTTGATGGGAGGGTAGATCTGGGGAAGCAGAAGAAGGCAGTGGCAGACTGCAGAGCCCAAACTTTCCTTTCCTGTCCATCTACTTGTCCCCTACACCTCGGTCCCCACATCCCTGGGTCTGAGGAGACTCCTCAATCATCCTACAGAGAAGTGAGTGGCTGCACCCCTCTCTCCTTTATTTCCCAGATTCTAGGGCTTAGATATGCAGGTACACAGGTAGCCTTTAGGCAAGACGGTGGGGGGCCAGGAAATAACATGACGTTAGTTAATGAAAGGCTCACTATTTGTGTTATTTGTACAAAAACCAGGCTGAAGCTTAATAGTAGCTGTAAAGAAACAGCCTGCCGGTCAAGAGGAATAAAAAGTCATAGCCTTTAAAGGACAGCTTTTAAAATTATTAATATCATTATTTGTCTGTACTGGGGTTTGAAATCAGGGCCTCTCTCTTGCTAGGCAGGTACTTTTCCTTTTGAGCCCCACCCCACCCCTTTTCGCTTTATTTATTTATTGTTAGATATGGGTCTCTGGCTCTTCCCTTCTCCTTCAGACCATCATCCTCTTTCTTACCTAACCCTCTTAAAGTAGCTGGGATTACAGGCATAAGTTACTACATCTGCCCCCTATGAATGGATCAGACATATTTTTTAACCTTTGGCACATTATTCACAATCTACTTGTGTCAGTTACCCCTTGGTTTCTGTTCACCAAAGCAAATAACTGGAAAGAGAAGAGAAATGGTGTTAATTTAGTATAGATACTTCCTACATGCCAATGTATTTTGTCCTCAACAATGCATCGGTACGGAAAGTACTGTAATTCCCAGTCATAGAAGAGGAAACCTAGGCTCAGAGAGTTGGGAAAACCCAAGGTCCATAGTCGGGTGGGCTGGATTCTATGTAGGCTGTGAACCAGTCTTTCCAGTGTGTTTCTTCTGTTTGGTGTTGGCCGGGCACCTCCTCATTCATGCACAGGGGTTAAGAGTGAGAGCAGAAGTGGGGAGGGAGCAGCTGTACCTGTCTATTATGCAGCTGTCTGTCCACATAAATCTGTCCCTCTGTGATGAAGCCTGTCAGGTCTGGGATGGGGTGGGTGATATCTACAAGAAAAAAAAATGCACTGGCCTCAGAGTGGTTGGGCCCAGGTCCCCACCCACTTGGGGCCACCAGGGTTCTGTTTCCCTCTCAAGAGTGATGGGGTGGGGGTGAGGGTGAAGAAAGGAACAGAGCTAGTGTGCACAGCTGTACACAGCTGCATGCGGGCTCTCTCTATCTCTCTCTAATGTCTTCGTGGGAAAAGGGTGGAGGGGGACTCTGGAGGGCAGGGGACTGTGGGGAGACTACCATCATTGGGCATGGTGAGGATTGGGATCTGTGTGATGGATCCACCCCGGCCCTCCACACGGCTGCTCTTTCATAGATGGTGGCCAGGTCTGTGTACATGTATCCAGGGAAGCCTCGGCGCCCGGGCACTTCCTCTCTGGCAGCGGAGACCTGCAATATCCATAAGCATTGGGGGTAAGAAAGGAGGTCAGAGGGAAAACTAGGAAAGGTTGGTGGGAAGTTCAGTGACTCTGAGGACTGGAGGGCAGGGCGGGTGGTGGTGGCAGGAGAGGAATGGCCAGGCTGTGACTGAGCCCTGGAACTCACATTGGGGGCAGGGCCAGGTAGGTGAGTTTCCTTCTTTTTCAGGATGACCCCTTGCAATGTGAAAACTAAGAAGAGACAGGAATGAACCTGACCCCCCTCGCCAGCCAGCTCACCTCTCGCAAGGCTTCTGCGTAGGAGCTCATGTCAGTCAGTATGACCAGCACGTGCTTCTCACACTGGTAGGCAAGGAATTCAGCAGTGGTCAGTGCCAGGCGTGGGGTGATGATTCGTTCGATCCTAGAGGTGAGGCATGGCTGGTGTTTGGAGGGCCTGGAAGCCCACACAACCCCAGGGATGAGAGCAAGGGGACCTGGGAAGCTGATGTGTGCACAGCAGCAAAGGAGTGGATAAAATGAGCTCCTACTCCCAGCCCTCAGGTCAGGGCCAGTTACCAGAAGTGGGCACTCTTCAGCAAGTCTGGTAGCCCTCACCTGCTGTCTGATAGACAGGGACAGATGCCAGGAGAAGAGTTGCATGGGAGAGGTCCAGGGAGGGCCAGAAGTGTCTGATGACAAGAGTGCCTTGTCCCCAAGGGCTGAAGATGAAGTACTCTCATGTATCACCCCATGGATGGTGGGAGGGGCACACACAAACAGTTGCTCTAGCTCCATCTTACCCCAGGGCACCCTGTGCTTGGGTCTGCTGGAGTACTCTCATTTTGTGTCCTGAGCACAGTGTGCCCTTCCCATGCCAGGCACTCCTGAGTACCCTTCCTTTGGATCTGGGCATTTTCAGTCCCCAGGCTCTGGTCCTTTGGATCTCCTTAGTAATGTCATTTCAGCCTCCAGAATTCTGTCTTAGTTTTTGAGGTAATCAATACCCAGTATAGTTTATTAGAATTTTGTTTTCGTCTACTTGATACTAGATTTAAACTTCCACTTTCTAAACTTACAAATCAGGTTTTATAAGTAAGTGGCACAGGCAAACACTATCTTTAGGGGTGACTTTGTGGAAGTGACCCAAGGATGACGGGCTGCAGGTAGCTGGTGAGGCTGTGGTCTGGCTCCCTGTGTCTTTTAGTGGCCTATTCTTAGCTCTTTCGAGGCCTCAGTTTCCCCATCTGCACAACCAGAAGTTGTTCTCCCAGCTCTGGCCCATAGCTGTGGTTGTGGGATGCCCTGAGCCTTGGTGCGCTGGGTCTTGGAAGGGGGCAGGGCCTGCCCCCCAAGGGCAGGCTGGGCATGGGGAAGGCTCACGTAGGATCATTGGCCAAGTTCAGGAAGAGGCAGACGTTCCCCATGGTTCCATTCTGCTCGAAGTCAGACTTGAAGAACCTGGCTGTCTCCATGTTCACCTGTACACACAGCAGGGAAGGCTGGAGGTGGAATCCTATGGCCTGAGTGTAGGACCTGTTCCTCTGAACTCCCCTCAGGAAAGTCTGTGGACTGGCTAACAGTCACTGAGGCTAATAGTCCCTAGAATGACCCTGGGGCTTGAGAGGGCCTTGTCAGGTCCCCCAAACAAGGTCAGACTTCTTCAGGTCAAGCTCTGCTTTGTGCCATCCCTTGTCCTTCCCTGGCCAACTCCTGCCCTATCCAACTCCCTGTCCTCCCACTGGGTTACTCTGAGGACATCAAGCTGCTTGTTCCAGGTTTTTCTCTGGCCACCTGGCTATTTAAGCTGCATGGCCTTTGTTTCATGAGGTACTCTCACTGCTTCTGTCATGTTCTTTCCTCTGCTACCAGACTGGCCTGGATTCTGACAGTTTGTCAAGGAGCAGGATTGTGGCTCCCTCATCAGATCGGGTTGTGCACAGCCGAAGGGAGGAAGGGCTGCTGTCACAATTTCAGAATTCTGGTCCTTATTGACTCTCTTACCATGGTGCAAAAACATGGCGAAGTTGTCTATGATATCCAGAAGCTTGGATTTTCTTCACACAGCTGGCGGGCAGATTGGGCCAGCAATCTGAGGCAGAATGGGTCAGGAGAGAGGCTGTGGGAGCTAAGGGCAGAGCCAGCCCCATTGAGCACCACTGAGGATGGACAGAAAATTCCCATTTGTCTTCCTCCAAAGACTTTGGTAGGGAGTGTCCAAGCTCAGATAGGTGAAGGGGCTGCTCTGGGTCTACATCCTTTCTTAGGATGGGGGGTCCTGTTCTGTGGCTACTAAAGGGCTGAGGGTGTCTGTCATTGTGAGCAGGGCAGAGTACAGATGGTCCCAGTGAGCAATGGCCTGAGCACAGGTTAAGATAAGTTGGCTTAGGGAAGTCAGGTCTTTCAAACCCCACATCTCCCACAGCCTTCTGGCCTTCTGTGGGCACAGAGTTGCCCCAGGCCTCCAGTGTGTGGGGCTACCAGACCACATGTCCCAAACCAGAATCTGTGTATGTGTGTGGAAGGGTAGGAATGCTTACGCTGTTGGATCACCCAGACAGACCATCTTGAGGAAGAGCTGGAGCACTCAGGAATGGTGGGAAAAGAGTACTGAGAAACCTGCTCTAAAAGGAAGCGGCTATTCATGCCTGGTAGTGGTGGTAGAGTAGGTATGGGGGAGGGAACACTAGGGTGGGGTGAAGAGGCTGCAGCTCATAGAGCAGGGCTTTTAACACTGGGGGCTACTCAGAGCTTTTCTCAGGCCAGTGAGTGCCCCACTCACCCAGGGCAGCTTGAAGTCCTGCTCCAGAGCAGTGACACTTGCTGTCTGTCAGGTCTTGTGCAGTCCTGAGTCCCTGAACCTTCAAGGGACACCTGTCAGTCTGGATGTTAGTGATTTCTGCTCTCTGCTTGGCATAGTAGCTCTCCTTGATGGTCCAGCAATCCGGACCTTGGCATATCCCTGCCCTTTAGTCATGTCTACTGGCCTCACAGGCTCACCTCATTGTGGGGGAGCCCAGCTGCTGAGAAGATGGGAATCTTCTGACCGCGGGCAATGCTGTTCATGACATCAATGGGAGAAATGCCCGTCTGGATCATCTCCTCTGGGTAGATGCGGTCATGGGGGTTGATGGGCTGGCCTGGGAGGAGGCGATCATGGAACATGCTCAGGGGTTCCAGCCCTTCCCTGCCCTCTTCCAGCCCTCTCCAGAGCAGTGCTGTTCAACAACACTTTCTGTAGTGGCAGAACTGTGCTCTAACTGTACTGCCCAGTGTAGCCCTAGCCACATGTGGTTATTGCGTATGTGAAATGTGGGCGTCAAATGAAGTTTTCTTTTTCGTCGTTGTTGGTTTAAGTTCAAACAGCCACAGGTCCAGTGCTACCTTGGACAGCACTGTTCTAGAGCATTGGAAGAAGGTGGCAGGAACCCAGGCTGAGGAACACTTGAGCAGAGATAGCCCTCCCCACAACTCAAGCACTTGTGTTAGGTTCAGAGGGTCTGAAGGTGACTCAGAGCAGATGTGGGTACACCTGTTGAAAATGTTTGTTCTATGCTCTGCCATCAACTTTCTGTGTGTTCCTGGGCAAGCCATGGACTATACACCTCCAACGCCTTCAGGAAACTGACAGATTGGGGTTGGAGGATTCAGAAAGCCTCCACGAGGATGTCTAGGAGCCTGGGAGGGGCAGTGTCTGCTGCTGCAGGCCATGCCCGCACAGCTCTCAGGGCTGAGTGTGTGAAACTGAAGGCAGGAGAGGGATGACCTGTGGCACATGCAGAACACTGCAACGATGATGACATTTTATAGGAGCTAGACAGGGCGTGCTGAGGGCAGTATTCAGGGTCAGTGGCAAATTTGAGGACAGATTTGCTGTCACATCACACCTGATCTGCCTGCTAGTCTGACTGGCCCTAAGGCTAGCACTAGTCAGTCACCCTGGCCTATGTCAGGGTAGAACTTCCAAGGGAAGAATGTCAAAAATGATGATTGGGGGTGGGAATGAGAGTAGGGAGGCGTTGGAGGAAAAAGTCCTGAAAGCCATCCAGAGCCTCCACTCACTCACCATTGATATCCAGAAATTCCTCTGCCATGACCACTGGCCCTTTGTCAATGGGTTTGCCGGAGCCATTGAAAACCCGACCTGAGAATGGGCAAACAGTATAGGAGACGCTCAGGGTCAGTTCAGTCCTGGCTCTCTCGCTACTCTCACCCTCTGAACCACCACCATCTCCCCCACAATAGCCCATTGCCCTGTGTGGGGTTCAAAAGACCTGACTTCCCCAGGCCAACTTATCTTAACCTGTGCTCAGGCCATTGCTGAGCTCATTGGGACCATATGTACTCTGCCCTGCTCGCAATGACAGACACCCTCAGCCCTCAGTTACCGCAGGGAGAGACTACAGCAACTGTTCCCCTAGGAGTTTCCCTTTCTCTCTTGGAGACCTTTACAAAGCCTTGGCCCAGGTCAGTGATTCTAATGAGAGAATTCTGGGGCTGGAAAGAGGGAGGATCAGGCTAGATTTGGCAGGTCTTCAGATAAATTTGGGGATATGTAGGGTTTAGCAGTCCCCTTTAGAATGATCCCAAATAAAGTAGCTACTGCTATACTGGCAGTTTATTGAATCTGCTTTCCTCATTGAATCATTGAACATTTGTTGTATGTCAGGCTGGGGTCGGGAACCAAAGAGAACCTCTGGCCTCAAAGAGCTCACAGGAAAGACAGATGTATAAACAGGGAGTGGTGCTTGGTCAGAGAAGTTGGGGTGCGAATGGCCCACCCTGTTCCTTACCCAACATGTCCTCTGACACTGGAGTCCGTAGGATGTCCCCTGTGAATTCACAAGTTGTCTTCTGGGCATCAATCCCAGAAGTCCCTTCAAATACCTGTGGGACAAAAGATAGCTACTCTGATAAGGGGCTTGCTGGAGAGAATGGTGGTTCCCACTCCAGGCACTCTCCGTGCCCAGCTTTGAGCTGATTACTCTCACAGAAATAGGTCATTCCCTGTACTCAGAGCTTAAGACAGTGTTGGAACTTTGTGAGTTCATTCATTAACTCACTCAGCCAGCATCCCATGGACACCACTTACCTGAACAATGGCCTTGGTTCCAGCCACCTCAAGCACTTGGCCACTCCTCTGAGTCCCATCAGGGAGAGTGAAGTTGACAATCTCAGCATACTGGGCAAACTGGCAGGTGAAAAGAGCAGCCCAGAGTGAAGTGAGACCAGAGACAAAGCCCATGTCACCTCCTCCATCCCTCCTTGATTCAGTTTCAAGCTTCTATCTGTTCTGTTATGCCCAGACACTTGTGGAAATGAACTTAAAGGGCTGAGATGTGGACCCTTGGATTCTGTTTGGGAGGGAGTATACCTGGGTGTTTAGAGGCAGGGAATTTAGAATTGGAAGACCAGGTTAGGATTTAAGCTCTGTCAGTTAGCTGTGTTACCTTGTGGGAGTTGCTTAGTGACTTGAGCAATTCATTGCATATTTAAGACATTAGCTCATGAGTCTTAGTTTTCTAATCTTTAAAATGATGGTGATAATACTAAGACCTACCTCCCAGGTCTGCTGTGGTCAGGAAATGAGATCATTTGGGTAAGTCATTAGCTTGGTGCTTGGCACCTTGTGAGAACTCAATAAAATGGAGTAGCTATTGTGGTCACCCAGATCTCCTGGAAGGCATAGAGTTTCTGCTCCTGTGGACTAATGGGAAGCACATTGACAAAGTGCTTTCCTCTGTTCCTAGGTGTCTCCATAGTCTTTTCCTAACTGCAGGACTGGGATTGATTCATGTGTAATGAATCAGGGGCTCAAGAATATTTTAAAAAAATCAGACTAATATCAAGAATATATAAAGAACTCTTATAACCAGATAATCAAGAAGTTATATCAAAGGATTGGAGAAATGTCTATTTCTACAAAGAAGATATAGACATGGTCAATAAGCACATAAAATGCTCAATATCATTAGCCATTAGGGAAATGAAAATCAAAACCATGATAAGATATCACTCTATACCCACTAGAATGGCTATAACCAGAAAGGCAGATCATAACAAATGTCGTTGAGGTTGTGGAGAAATTAGAACCCTCATTCACTTCTGGTGGGGGTGTGTGTGTGTAAAATGGTGCAGCCACTTTGAAAAGCACTCTGGTAAGTTCTCAAAAGGATGAATATAGAGTGACCCTCTAAGCCTCAGCAATTTCATACCCAAGAAATGAAAACATATATCCACATAAAAATTTCTACCTGAATGTTCATAGCAGTATTATTCCTAACAGCAAAACAGTGGAAATGGCCCCAATGTCCATCAACTGATGAGTGGACAAATAGAATATGGGATGTTAAAAGGGCTGAACTCACTTTAAAAGAGTGATGTTTATGATGTGGGATTTATAACTCAATTAAAAAAATTTTGTCAGGACTAGATAGGTAGGTAGAGCTCTGACCTAGGGAGTCCCTGAGCTCCACAGTCTTTAGCCCACATCTAGGGCAGGCTGCAAAAAATTGGTTCCCAGCTTCCAAACTGGCTCTTTGAAAGAACCAGTAGAATAGACAAATAGGTAACACTGATTAAGAAAACAGAAAATCCATGAATAAATAACTTGGAATTCAGAACCAGCTATGCTGATAACATTTAAGATAATTAAAAGAATTATGAACAACTTTATACAATATTTGTAAGAATTTAGGTGAAATGAGTGAAGTCCTAGAAGAATATGACTCAAACCAAAACCAATTAAAAGTTAATAGAAATCCAGAATAATCCTATAGTTTGTAAGATATCAAATAAATAGTTTAAGGTCTTCCCACAAAAAAGCACCAATCCAGGTAGTGAATTTGAATGATCAAGGAACAAATAATTTGAAATTTACTTAAGCTCTTCAAAACCTGGAAGAAAAGGTACTGTAATTAATTCATTTTATGAGGAATGCATAACCTTGATAGCAAAATAAAATAATTATGGGAAAATTGTAGGCAATTTCTTTCATTAACATGGATACAAAAATCCTAAATGAAATATTAGCAAGCCAAATCTAGCAGCAAGTAAAAAAGACCAAGGTACAAGTCAAAATAATAAAAAAATGAAGATAAATACACACATATACAAAATACAAAATTAAAAAGACCAAGTTGTTTTTCCAGTAATGCAAGGTTATTCTAATGTTAGAAAAAATGTATTAATGTAGTTTATCTTATTAATGGGTTAAAGGATAAAAATTGATCATCAAAGATTTTTTTGGAAAAAGTTAAAAACTTGACTATCATTACAAACAAAAGCAAACAAAATGGTTCCTACAAGTCAAGGAATAAAAAAGAAATTTCTTAATTCCTAAATGAACCTGCCACATCCAATGATATGATGAATAAAGCATTCCCTTTAAAACTAGAAACAAAACAACACCTGCCACCATTACTCTATTCAGCACTGTGTTGGAGCAACTAGCCAGTCAGAAGAATAGAATTAAAGTAATAAAAATGGAAAAACAAAATGAATCAAGATAAGAAGGAAACAAAACTATCATTTGCAGGAAAAGTGGATGGAACTGGAGACCGTGTTTAGTAAAATAAGCCAGTCCCATAAATACAAGTATTGGATTCAGCTGGGAGGAGTGGCTCAAGTGGTAGAGCTCCTGCCCAGCAAGCATGAGGCCCTTCATTCAAACCCCAGTACTGCCAAAATAAATAAATAAAATTTTGAAGTATTGCATGTTTTTTCTCATGTATGGTATCTAGGGGGGAAAGGACTTGAAAGTAAAAGGGGCTGTTAGGGATGTGGAAAAGAAAAGGGGAAGGGTGATAAGAGAAGGGGGAGGGGGATAAGAGAAGGGGGAGGGGGATAAGAAAGAGTAATAGCGGGGTGAGTGTGATCAAAGTACATTACATGCATGTATGGAAATATCACAATGAAACCACTTACTTTGTACTATTAATATATGTTAATAAAAATTCATTAGGTGAAAAAAAGCCCTATCAAAATGGAATAGGTAATTCCCAAACCCCAAAATGCTTGTGCTGGAAAGAAAAACAGAGACCAAATTCTCTTATTAAAATGGATGCAGAAATTCTATTTACACTGTTGTTCAGTCTAATCAGTGTGTCAAATAAACATGTATCAATAAATAGGGTTTGTTCTAAGAATTCAAGGCTAGAGCAATCAACAATCAGGGAATTTGCCAATATTTGACAATTTAGTTCATAATAATAGGGTGTTTGTCAACAAAAAATAACCAAAAACCCCCTTAAAAATAGAAACCCCTTATATAAATAGAAGCATAAATGTCTTTGATGAAATTCCCAAGGCAGCTGCTTCTCATGCAGTTCTATGTAAAAGAAGAATGAGCGGAAACTGCTTGAGAAACTAACTTATCAAAACTAGCATCAACATCCCTATAAATGGAGAAATGCTAAAGCCATTTTCACTTCTAATAAAAATCAAAATAGAGTTACCTGTATCACTATTGTTCCTTAGTATTGTTTTAAAAGCTTTAGTTTATATAAGACAAAAACAAAAAACAAACCAATAAACATAAATTGAGAATGTTCTGTTTTTTTAAGGGTGGTGGTACAAGGAGGCTGTACTTTTTTTTTTTTTGAAAGTGTCAGAAAGGCCGTGGAAATGGTCCAGATTACAGGAAGGGAAAAGGACATGATGACGAAATGCAATACATAACCTGGGCTGGATCTTGTTCTGGAGGGAAAATGCTATAGAAGACCGTATTAGGTCAGCTGATAAATCAGAATAAGGTGGTAGATTAAAGTATTGTATCGGTGTGAATTTCTGAAGTTGATGATTATGTAAGAGAATATCCTCATTGTCTGGAACACACATAGGAATACTGAGTGTAATTTAACTTCAAAAGATTCAGAAAAAATCATGTACACACATTGACAGACACACACAGAGCAATAATAGAACAAATGATAGAAAATGTAAACAATTTAATATGTGGATAGTCTTTGTACTATTTTTATTTTTGCATAAAACTAAAGTCGAGTGGAGAGGGGGGAATTCAGTGGCAGACTGTTTGCCTAGCATGTTTGATGCCCTGGGTTTCATCCTCAACACTACAAACAGAAAACAAAGAAAAAAAACCCTGAACTTACTTGTTTCAAAATAAAAGTATGCCAATGTAAAAAGAGACATCCCACCCTTACTTCCAGATGCTATTGTAAATCTAGAAGCATCTAAGAGGCTCTGGTTAACACACACACACACACACACACACACACACACACACACACACACACTCACACCCCTACAAGGATGAATTGGAGAACTTGGCTATAAGATAAATTTATAAAAATAATTTTTTTCTATTCTAATGGTAACCTTTGTAAGAAGCAATAGAGAAAAACATTCCATCCACAATAGGGCCCAAACCCATAAAATATGTGATCAGGCACAAAAACAGAATAAAATCTTATTGAAGAACTTATGAAGAACATAAAACATAGACAAATGAACAATATTTTCTTCTAAGACAGAATGACTTACTATAATGAAGACATGAATCCTTTAAAAATATACAAATTAAATCTACCCTATGAATTATTATTTCTTTTCAAATTTAATAAAATGCTCTTAAAGTTCATATAATTATCTGAGAATAGGCAAAAACAGTTAAGGAAAGATCAGAGACAGAGGATTTGTCTGACTGGATATTGAAACTTGCTATTAAACACTTACTATGAAGTTACTAAAGTGAAGCAGTGAGTTATGGTAAAGTCCAGTCTATCCCACTGCATAGAACAGCGAGCATAGAAACAGATCTCAGATTTTAAAGAACTATTATAAAACAAATGTTGCATATTAATTCACAGTAAAAAAAGAATGATTTGAACAAATATTGCTAACACAACTGGGCCTTTATTTCGAAGATAACCACATGATAAACACAAATGCATCACAGACACAGAAAAAACTTGAACATAAATCTAAAACAATGTTTTAAAATACTGGGAGAGTTTTTCTTCTTTCCTTTTCCCCCAGAATAATACAGTTGAAAGACAGATGAGAGATGTCTTTAAGCAAGATAAGGAATGCAGAGCCATAAACTACCAAAAATGGAAATATTTAATTGCATAGACCTTTAAGATTTCTGTATGGCAAAGACACCATAAACAAATGGAGAAGCAGAAGATGGTTTATGGAGGATGCACGGAGAACTCCCACAATTCAATATGTAGAAGGACTTTAGGAGAAGGAAGAGAAATACAAACAGAAAACAGATAACCA